TGAAGAAAGAGGAATATCTTACACTTGATCTCACAAACGCGATGTGCTTTGCCGGTAGCTTCTGCGCAAACGTTGGGTCACGATTAATAGCTTGCTGTTAGTGATTGATGTTGACATTAGGACCCAGAACTGGGAGCGATATGACTATTTCGTTAGGGGTCGCCAATGATCGATTCAAAGTCAATATACTAACATCACGGTGGACCACAGGGTGTTGATTGATTGGCAACCGTCCCTTGGAATTTTAGTTGACTCGTACGGTGACAGAAATCGTGCTCCCATTTTACGAGCTTAACGCGGCACGATACTTTATTGCCTCTAAGCGTCGTTGTCTGTCCCGTTTTAGTAGCGGATTTACACTTGCGTTTTCTATCACGATTTACGAGACGTGTATTTCATTACTTCAAAATGAATTGTTAAGCTCTCTCTCTCTCTCTCTCTCTCTCTCTTTTTCTGAGACGGCGATTAAAATTAATTAAACTGTACACGTATGTATCGGTTGTTAAATAAAATGAGGTTTTATGAAGCAAAATATTAATTGGAAAAAGAACTCGTCTGCCATAAATCGGCAAAGTGATTAATATATACATTTAAAAAATTAAATTTTATAATGTTAATATTTTCTTTTTAAAAAACTAAAAGTCTTACCAACAAATAAGTTTTACTTGCAACTAGAAGAAGGGTAAGGGCGTTCGTATTATTAATTTTTCTTTAATAAGTTGTCTTTTTCTTCTAGAGAAAAACATGATAAATGTTGATGTCATACTTTGCCTGCATATATCAGATCACGACCTCGAAATTGCACATAGCACGTGATATATGTAGGTATATTACGACATCAGTTGTAAAGCGTTCAGTCTTCGCGACATGTGAACAGGTGGCAGAGTAGACGAGTCGCATGTTTCTTTCGGTCACAGTGCACGTAGCTCGCGCGACTCGTAGATGTGCAATGCGAGTAATAATTTCGCCGCGGCAGAAAGGTAGTTTTCGGGCAATGCGTTAACAAAAGTGCATAACGTTTTTACGACAGTACAAAAGAGAAATTATTTTGCCGCGGAATAAAAATGTTTACACGGTGAAAGGCAACAGCATTCATCCCTATTTTGTCCCCGATAACTTTTCGAATTTGTCACGTTTCGTTCACTGGTGCGTACGCTCGTTGCAGAATTCTACGTAAATTTCTTTTTTTTTTTTATGATAGACACATGTTTATCGCGCGCGCTGCGCGAGTGTGGAATATCTAATTTTGCGTACAGAGCGAAATTACGCTTTGCTTATACGAGAGATCGTTTACAACTGAGATAATTGAATATCGTTTTTATGTTTTGGCATGCACATGATTCGCGCTCGCAGTTTTATTCTAATATACTTTTACAATTTGATGCACGCTGCTTCGGCGCCGTTGTAATAAAAAAATTAATTCTTGGTAATACTGTCGTCCTTCCCATATATGCAGATTACATTTAACGTTGTAATATCGCAATATGTTTTGCAATATCGATTAATGTTGTTGCCGTTGGAAATTTCAATTTTAAATCGCCTTTTTTTGCAATAAAGATTATTTCTAGTGACAAATTATGAATGGTTTTTCCATACCGTTAATTAGAAAAAGTAATTTGATTTTTAATGCAATAATAGTACTTCGTTAATAAGAGCCGAAAAACGTTAAATTGCAAATGTACACACCGTTTTTACGCGCATTACATATTTTATGAAGAATAAAATATAAAACGCGCGGTATTGAAATTAAACTTTCATGGACGATCGATTGCCATCTCGAGCAATGCTCGATTTCGTTCCGATGCTCCTATAATTTAACGAAATGCTTAAAATTAGTTGACTAAGTCTCTTCTCGCTCTTTCGGGCAATTTTTTTCACTTCGCTTAAGCATACGAATACGTTCATTATTGAAATTGTTTCAATTATTACACTTCATAAAATTTATTAAATCGTTTTATTATATTGCAGCTTTAATTTGCAGATAAATGTTATTTTAATATTAATTAAAATTGTGTGTAAAATTGTGTGCCGCGTACAAAAATGCATAACACTTTTAAACTGAAATTTTAACGAAGAATCGAGCAAGAATTGTTTTTAATAACTGAAAATGAATTATGAATATTTAAAGAGCAAAGTTTATTATAAATGTTTTACTAAAATATCTTTATAGCTGTTAATTCCAAATTTACAGTTTAACGTTTTTGTTTTTTTTATATACGCTTATATGCAGATAATCACTTGGTACAGACTGATTGTACGTATCGTTACTTGTTTCATGACGCAAACAAGGTTACATAACTCTATATTTAAAGACTCACGTCAGCTGTTATCACACAGCTATTATTTGACCAACTGAGTAAATTCATCAAGAGGTGAAAAAGATAAAGTGCAGTGTAATAATTAGATACAATGCTTATATGTTGTTCGCGAAATATTTTTTATAAGACAAAGAAATGTATTAGAAAAATCAATTATTCCATAAAAACTGTAAAGTAATTAAAAAAGTAATACGAGCAACAATTGCGTACGTCTATAAAAAATGGTCTCCAAAAATTCTCGTTTTGTTCTGATTTTTGTTTTACTTATTTTTTTTCGCCATAATACTTTATAGCATTATGTCAATTTAAATTACATATACTCTGAAAATTTTGTGACTAGATGCGATTTGTTCGTAAATAGCAAAACTTGCACGACGGTATAGCAGTGAAATTCCGCGACGTCGTCGGCTAATTGTAAGCATTCCCAAGTCACTAATTAGAAAACTAGGAACTGCGAACGTTATCTCGCACGGGAGAGATAGCAAGCTTGGCGGAACAACGCGGCTGGAAGAACTAGAACCATATTGTTTGAATTATGATGTAAATAACTCGAAGCTAAGACATTACTAAGCCCCGTGGAGAAACTTCTCTCAATGAACATACTAATTTCGTATTATTTTATATACGGTATATTATTAACGTGGATACACTGAAAATATTTTAATAGCAGCGTATAAAACAGATCTAATTTATTGTGTCTGGTTTTAGATTAAACAGTTTCAACAAAACACAATGATACAATTCTAAAATATAACTAATTACACAGACGCTTTAACACATGTGGCTTTAACAAGCGTGTCTCAGCATTATAATATGCTGATTCTTTCTTGGGTTTCATTATGTCAGCAAAAACTGTTTCACGAGACCCGTCGTGTCCGAGCAATTCATCATCTTCAAGTCTGCTTGGATAAGTAGTTCTGTAACGAAGTGTATCATACGCTACAGTAAGGTAATATAACAAGTTACTTTAAAGATCTCTTAATTCTTTAGATTATATTTTACAATTAATTTTCTGGATTTACATCAGTATTTAGAAGCAGTATAGTATTCGAAAAGATCAACTAATGAATTTTCTCTTGGCCCATTTATTATAAATTTGTAGGATTTCCGAAAATCTATATATGCAGAATTTACGACGTATTTTCAATAAATCGCGTAATCGCATCGCTAAATTGGTACGATTTTTATTTATTTTTCGAAAATTTTTTTTGGTACTCGACAACAAAGACACGGACTATTTCGTCTGTATATTTTATTCCGCTTCCGCATTTCCATTTCTCATTGGCATTCAGAAATGCTAGGCGATTCTTTCCTGAAAAATAACCCGCGCGAAAGTAAATCAGGATCCGGAAGACCGTGAAGCGTTCCACGAGTACAATGTGCCATTTAAGTTCCGCGATCCGTGGAGAGACACAAGGTGAACGACTTATCGCGAGTTCCTGAGAATTTTTCTTCTCGTGTCGCAAATTCCATTCGATAAGTGCGAAAAAAATCAATGTTAACGACGTTGGAGTGACTCCATTCCTTAAATTGCAGTCTTTGCGAAAATGATGAAACTCCCGGCGACGAGAGCTGTGCTGAACAGCTTTCATATCGCTTCACTCGGTGGAGAGTATTAGGGATGTTATAATGTAATCAATCATTCGCGCTGTGGAAGTTGTTGGAAAAACATATCGTTATGCATATCGGATCGCGTTTATTTACCAAAAGTTAATGAAATATCACATGATGGCTATTATATTTTTAATTATTAGCGAATTGATTGTAGTTTAATGAATATTGCGTTTGATGCATATTTATTTTGTGAGCTCGTTGATAAATAATAAATTATAATTAAACCATGGTTTAGTAATATAAACGAATTTGTAAATCGTTGCGAAATTCTATATCATCTAGATGATAGGTTCGCAAAATTGCAATTTTAATTGTACTTTGAAACCGCTGTAAACGAGAACGATTTTCATGTGATAGATTCATTTAAATTATAACCGCAGAATACTGTCATATTGTGTGATGTTTGCTGACTTCATCATGTATTATGGATGTAACATATAGTATATTTCTCTCTATCAGACAGACATAGTTGTACGTCACTTGAATCTCGCATCAATTACTAGAGAAATAATATTGCGTTTGTGGTGCAAGATTGATCGTACTTCATGTTGTAAATAACACAGCCACTAATCGACATTGTCTCATTCATTTCTCTTGGTAAACCTCTGTTGTACAATAATTATCTAATTCGTGTCTCGTATATTTTGTACAAAATTTCCAAACTGTAAAGTTTATCGATAAAAATTAGTTTAAAATATTATCCGATGGTACGTCGCAATATTCTATTTTTTATAAATTTTTTTTTTAAATCTACCGCTGTAAAATTGCTACGTAATTCACATAAATTTTATTTTGATGCTTTTATTCACGACTCTCCGTTGAAATATCTATATAATTTTGACGAGTTTAAGATTCGATGCTTTACGCAAATAATCTCATTTTCTTCATAACAATGGAAACGCGAAAACTGAGATGAGATTCGCTTTTCCTTCGCGGCATCGAGAATTGAATTCATCAAAATTATAATACTTCCAATACTCGCTCGAATGCAAGGCTTCTGTAATTGTGAACTTTTAATTCTCCTTCCCCATGCGTCTCTCTGAATTCGTTTATTTCTCGCGTGCACAGTGGACGCGCGGTTGAACATGTTAAAGTCGCTCGGTATCGGAGTGAAAGATTTACCCTTATCACCCACGGTTATCCGGGGGAACGCGATGACGAGCGACAACGGGGTTGGTAATGCCACATCCACGCCGGGCGTCGGTGCCGCAGCTGGGAATTGTACCACTGTCGTCTACGCGTTTCCGGAGGAAGATCACTTAGTCGTGGGATACCTCAATGAGTGGATCAATGCCTATTCCTTCATAACGAGTGAGTACACCATCAGTCGAGCGTTACTTTCAGCCGGTAAACCACTGTAAAGCGCTATCGATCCCGACGACTTTTGCCAGGGTTGGATACGACAGGTAGTTTGTTCCACGAACGAGGTTGGCGAAAGATAATTTTTCCCGCAACTGCCTGATTATATATCCCGCGATACATGCATGTAAAGAGAAAGATTCTTCTTTTCGACATGTACCGATTAATTTTGGATATTTAATTTAATTTTGTCTATTAAACATTTTCTTTTAAATAATTATTATATCTTTTAGTTATCATAAATAAGAAAAGAATAGATTTCACGTGTCTATTTGTATTCTCTCTTTCTATTTGTGTATGTGTGCATATCCAAAACTAGTCGAAACTGATCGGTGTTCTAATTTCTGAGTTTTCAGAACCCTATTGAAATGATAGATCCGGAATTATAGATGTAATCATCAATTGAACTTCCGATTGGCAAATATGAGCATTGTGTGTTTAGCGTTGCATTGTTTCTAGTAGCAGTAATTAGTCTGGCATGTTAGTCGATTTTTCCTTTCGACATCGACAGTTTCGAGTTGCATTCGAATGTCATGTTGTGCTTGTTTACGGACATATAGTCGACATAGGTTTATAATCGCACAAAAGCAGACTGTCGTGAATGGAAACCATCGATATTTGTATTGTCTATTGAGGATACGCAGGTCTGCTTTTGTCGATATTTCATGGGGAAAAAAAATACAGAATTTTCAGATGTACGTTTAACGTGATTTCCGCAGACAACCAAGAAAAGTTCTACCTCTACATTATTATATCGGTCAGCGCTGGTATCTTGCTCTTTCTGGGGTTAGTTATCGGCCGTCTGTTAGTCAGCCGACATCGTGCCAAGAGGGAGGCAAAGTTCCACGCAAATAACGAAACACTCCCGAACGGCTTCACCGACGATATTTCCGAGATCGATGCCGACATCGATCTTACGACAGCGGTCCCAGTACCAATGCAAGACACAAGGTATAATTTCTCTTCGCTTGAATAATAAGATTGCTTCAGGATGGTCTTTTTCTCACATTTAGATGTAAGACAATTTTTTGTCATTTTAAATACATGTGAAGAGTACTTGCTTTTGAGAATTAAATTCAAAGAGAGTGTTTCCGAGAGTTTTTCAATGTATTGTAACCTTAAGTGAATAATTTTCTTAGCATTCCCTTATTTTATTTTCAATTACTTTTAATTAAGGGATAACGAGGGATAATAGTTTCAAAGCACATTCCATTACCTCTTGTAGACTGCCTGAAACTCAGTTGGCCGAAAGGCTGCACGGCGAGCGTTACTATGCCGACACGAGGATACCTTTGTCGCCGACTACCATTCATGCTGCATCGATTCCTCACGCAACCAACACGGGGATGCGTGTCGATCTTGGGAACCACATGGTTGGCACGGATAATCTTCACACGATCCTTCGCACGGAGGACCCCCGAAGCATTAACAACAAAAGTTATTATTACGGCTGACAAGAGGAAGGGGTTGTCCCGCGCGAGGGACGACCCCCGTCCTTAAGTCCGGTACCGGAAGTGAGCACGCGGAAATATTGCTTTTAATTAACAAAAGAAACGCGCATACGGCAGAGGCGTACTCGCCGTACTGAGCCGCTGTAAATTATGTTGAACTCGAACAATTTATCATTTGTTACGCCGAATTGTGTTATATAGTGACAGTGCAGCCGCAGAGTTGTTGTCAGACGCCAATGACAAGGAGTTGATATTTGTTGAAACAGCACGGTCTGTGAAAAAAAACCTGTGTAACTATAAAAATGTCGTCCGTTGCGAGATTTGCGAAAATTCTCGATCAGGAATGTACGATCCATTGTTAGTAAAAATGACGTAGGAAAGGAATGAAAAAAATTGTAGGATTACAACATTGCTTCGCTGCAATATTGTAACGAGAATATAGCAAATGTATTTGAAAAGATCGATTTGTAGATATGTTTAAGACGGCTCGAGTGATTTCTTTGAGTGGAACTGAAACGGTTCTAAGAATCATCGCAAGCATTTATGTCAAACTGTGCATTTAAGCGTCCAAAACAGTTACATTAAAAAAGAGCAAAACGCGTTATACAGTCAGGAACGTGACAAGAATTCACTGGGTGTTGTTACTCTCTTTCAAATACGAATTAACAAAAAAAAAAAAATAGTAGACA